TCGTCTCTCTCTCTCTCTCTCTCTCTCTCTCTCTCTCTCTCTCTCTTCAAAAAATGTATGTTTATATACATACACATATTTTCTAGATGATTATAAATAAAATCTTAATGTATACAATACTGTTACATATTTAATTAATATGTTAATAAATATATATTAATAATCGGGTTGATTTATTTAATAATGAATTTATCTGCAAAATCTATCCACATTCGTAAAGAATAAATATAAAACGACAATTGTCTAAGGAGGTAGTAATGTATCTAATGGAAATTTCGAATAAATTTTATTCGAAAATGTCTTAAAGAGCTCTGAGACGGTGTTTTCAAGAGCTGGTTTAATTTCAGCCGCCACTGTTTTCCAGTTGTCATTTAAAAAGAGGTTCATGGCATCAGACAGAGTATTGTCGCCGTTAAATAAATTGTCTAAATGGATGTTCGCATGTCCAACGTCGAAATCTACGTAAAAGTCGGTAACGCGATAATGAATCTCCCCAGTTTTTCGGGATTGATAACGTTCACCTTGGATGATGGCTGTAACGTCGATATCGGTAAAATTGCCACGCGCCAATCCATTTCCGGTTATAGGCAACATCAGGATCTTTCCGTCCACATTGTACTGCGCATTCATTTCAAGACGTGGAAGATACAATTTCAATTTGACACGATCATTGTCGATATCAGTCCTGAAGAAATATAACATTAAATAAATTATGCGGATGACCTTTGATAATTTATAATTCACAAATCTTTAACGCGAATTGACATAAATTAATTAAAAAAGAACAAAATTTCTTAAACTGTAAATTTTCGAGCTACTGATAAAATTTAAATCGTCTTTTAAACTGTTCTATTTTAAGAATTACGTACTTGACGCTCTTTAAAATGAAACTCGTTCCACCTTGAACCTCGATATCAGTATACGTCGACTTGAGGGAAATTGGACCGGCAGACTGGCTAATTTCAATCCGTGGCACGCGAAGCGGCTCGCAAGGTGGTATTTGTAACGTTGGAATACCCGTCTTTAAGTAAGGTCTTAACGAGTCGACGCTTCGTTTTATGCATTCGTTCAGACTCGGATCATTGCGATGACATATCTTCAAAAACGGCGCTAAAAGGAAAATTAGTCGAAAATTTTACAATTTTTCTTGAAAATATGATTAAATAAAATAATATTTTAGGCTAAATTCCTTTAAAAATTCAAGTACTAAAACTAGCAAATTATATATTGAATTATCTGTAATAATAGCATAAAAGACAAATAGATAGAGATAAAAATAGTTATGTTTAAAGAAATTATTTCATAAAATAATTGATGTTTTACTCACGTATTTCACGAGTTTTTACTGCGACAAATCCAGTTAGTATCAATAAGGAGGTAAATATGTTCGCATTAATATGCATTGTGACTACGATGATTTCCACACGTAGAATAACCTGTCGATACGAGTAATGCCAAGTCAAAATGCTAAGTAATGTAAGCGAATTTTACAATCGATCGCAATGCGCTGATTAGGCGATAATTGTTTTTTATGAATCCTCTGACGAATGATTTGCTTATTCGACACAAAATGACTTGTACTTTTCTTTTCGTGACACATTTATTAAACTTACATAGACAAATGCGCAATAGAGAGCAATTTAATTTATTTAAATTTTTTTATTCTTCTTTATAAAGAATATATTCATTTGAAATTCAATTTTTTTTTATCTGTGATAACTATTTGTCGTCATGGGCCTTGCTCTCCATTACATCATCGCGTAATGAAGGAATTTAAGGAAATGTTGTGCACACTATCGAAGAAAATCTATCGATGTCTGACTAAGAGTCACTTAACCAGCATCATATAAGACTGGTCCATGGCCCAGATTTTCTATGCCCTTCTACGATCAACTATAAAATCCTCTTGCGAGTACATCGCCAGCTTACAGATCGCGTCAACCCTCTATGTTCGTGCGATCATCGAGTCTTCTTGAGTAGTCTTCATTTTTCAAGCAATTATCGATTATTTTTAAAAAAATGTTATCTAAAATTATTGTGTATCAGAAACAAACGAGAAGCAACGTATGTTGAATCACATGTTAATGTGCACAATCTTCGCTTGCTTTCTATTAATATTTGTCGTCATTGGTATCATATTAATGTTGATTTATAAACCGATTTATATGTGGGAGATTGATATACCTTACTGAAGAACTAAAAAAATTTTTCTGTTCCACAATAAGAGAATACGTTTGAAATTTTTAACATCCTTATCAAAAATTATAATCTGTGAAAATTTAAAATCCGACAAAATGGCTAGACCAACGCAATGGAGTGTTCTTCACCTGCTTATGGCGCTATTCTCTGTGATAATCTCGGCAGAATGCGCATTGTTAGAAATGTCTCGGATGCTCTGGAACCAGACAGTGTCTGGAAGTATAACGACAATAGGCAGACTGGACCCGTTGAGAGTGCCATTGATCAAGGTTGACCAATCCGAAGGCGACGCCAGTTACAGAGTCATCTTGAGGAACTTGGAGATCATCGGCCTGAATGGATCGGTGTTGGAAAGTATCCACCTTGCTCGCGGTGAGTTAAAATCCAATTTAAGCAAACTCGAGGCCGGATATATGAGCTACAGCGATCTCCGAGACGTGGATTCCATTAAGTATAAGTTTCACACTATAATGAGGGAACCCAATGTGCCTGAGGAGGGTTTCGAAGCCGTCGTTTCGCCCATTAATCGAGCTGCTGACATAAGGCCTTCTTCGCATCAAAACACTCGCTTCGACCGATTGCAACAAAATCACCAGGGTATCAGGATGTTTGAGCAAAGTCAGCAGTATAACAGGCGAATTCCTTTTCATTCTGATGGCACGACCACCTCCGACGGTTTTTACAGAAACAATTTGAAAACATCGAGTAATTTGGATACAAATGCTGGAAATATCGAAAGTTTTAGGCAACCGGCTTACGTTCAGCCTATTTATACGCAAAGGATGAACAGTTTTCAAGGATATCATAGGAGTTCACAGGATGATAAAGATACGCTCGATTGCGATGATACAAAGACTTCCCAGTATGGAAGAAATCAAGGCAATCAACAGTATGAACAAAGGCAAAGTGTTACTAGCAGATACACTGAACGACTCGGGGATGTTGAGGTTTGAAGAATTGTTATATTGTAATGAGATTTTATTATAACTTAATTAATTTAATCGAGTTAATTTTTTTCTCAAGTAATTTGTATGATATGATATTAATTATTTATTATAACATTTGCACTGTTATATTTTTACATAATTTATTTATACGTATATAAAAATAAAGTGTAGCCAATGAAATTTTCAAACTATTGAATTTGTTAAAATAGGTTTCCGCATCGGAAATAGTTAATGCTAGATTGAAGAGTCAAGGTGATGATGCAAGACCGCCTGCATTGTACAATAGAGAACAATCTTTGCGATCAAATGTGGCATCTTCGGGCAATGTTAAATCGTCAAGAAACGGAATGAGAGAACGGTTGGATTACATCGACATCGTTTATGCGAATGACCAAGTTAATGGCAGCATAAAGCGTTTCGGTAATATGGGTACCGATCCCAAAGAGAATCGACGAGTATACGGCATCGAAGATGTTATGAAAGTGCTTATATGTTTTTAATTTATCGTACCTTTTTTAAATTATTACATTGAATATTATATTGTATTGTATTAAAATCTTTAAAAATTTTGATATAATCTATGAATAATGTTTTGAGTCTTGCTCATATTTCTATTATAGGACATTCGGGAGAGCACAAAATTCTTTACTTATAATTTTACGGAAGGTGAAGCTTTAAAAAAAAGAAACGATATGATTGAAGCTAAAAGATTAAAGGATCTAATTAGATACGCAAAGAATTATCAAGAGCAGCAAGGGTATTTTGAAGAAGGCATGCAGCTAATCTATCATTACGGAATGGATGTAAAAAATGATAACATATCTCGAAACAACGGTACCAAAAGAACAAAACGAGCGCACTCTGAGAAAACAGTTGACGTAAGATAAACAGTTTAAATTTAAATACATTTTTAATAAGAAACTTGAATTGTCCAGAAATATAATAATATTAATAAATATAATAATGTTTCCATATAAAAAAATTTATTTATATGTATTATATGCTCTGAAAACATTACAGGATGACGTAATGCATGTGATATTGAGAATTCGCGTCCCATTGCTTCGTATAAAATCTCAATACACGCTTATGGGAAAAGTGGGGCAGGAGATGTTACGTGGCAACGGTCTGCTTGTCGGAAACTTTAGTAAGAAAATATAAAATATTGTTGAGTTGTGTTTAAAGATGGTAAAAACTATAAATTTTCATTATCTTAACAGCCGATGTAGTGGGCGATTTTTCGCTAGAATTGAAAAAAATCAACGAAAAACTGATGATTATTCGTGCTGCTAAAGCAAAACTTTCTGCGAAGGATAAGAAAATCAATCTTCAGGGTATGGACGAAAAGGGACCGATGAAAATTATTTTCAGTCATGGTAAGTATTGAGTAATTATATCAACTAAATGCTATCTTCAATAAAATAATTGAATTCTGTCATTCATTTCATTATAAATTTTGCTATTTATTTTTTTGAAGAAATTACTCCGGCATTCCCTTCTTTGGGAAAGAAAAATGAGCGTAAATAACAATTAACTGTAAAGTAAATCGATTGATAGCTATAAATCCGATCTTGATAATTATTATGTGCAGTATCATATTTATTTTGGCTGCATTGCCTCAGTGCGATTCTTTTGTAATTACTTGGTAGAATGAAAAGCCGAATTCTCTCTTGGAAAGTAGCATTGATCGATCCGCGATATGGCGATACCGCTTATCGAGTACAAGTACTCTACGTGCCACTGCCATAAACAGTGTATATAGAAGCGAGAAAAATTCCGTATGTCTTACATTTTCAAGTACCTTAAACATGTTCCATTTCGTCGTTTCTCTTTCGAAATTACGAGGAAGTAAGAACAGAATATGGACAAAGTATCGTGACGATCAACGTCGCGAATTGTCGGAGACATAAGTACGCCGACACTCGATCACCGAGTAAAAGTTTTTGCTTTCTTGAGAACGCGACCGAACGAGTTCGTAACGAAACGATCCCGCGCGACATTAACTTGGTTAATTTTTCATTCTGTCGTTGACTTTTCTCTGCCTCCTCCTCTTTCAGGTTTAATGGCTGCAGAGGCAATCGCCGCGATGCTCGCCGACGACTTTGCGACCAAGGGACTCAGTGAAAGAACGGCTGACGCACTGATCTACAGAATGTACAAGGATTTACCAGTCAATTAATCAGTCTGCTTGATTGCTTGAGGCAATCGAGAACTCTGTTCTGCCGTCGGCAATGCGTTTCTGCAAATCATGTTTTATTTTATATATATTTATTTCTTTTTTCCTATCCTTATTCGAAAGTTTGACTGTTGGCCATGCTTTATTTTTTTACTATTCTGAATCGTTTATTTATCTTTGCTTTTATTTTTTATTTATATTTATATTACATGTTGTTTTAGATTATTGACACTTTAGTTGTGCTTATTAATAGATACGCTTTTATTGCTTGCACGATTTACTTTTATTTATTTATTTATTTTATATTTATTTATTTATTGCGTATAGAAATGTATTAATTTAAAACTAAAATTTTATATTTTATATTAATTTTATTGAATAAATTAAAATATGTCAACAAAAAATTGTTAACCATTTTTTCTTATTATCCTTGTATCATACATAGACATATAAATTGCATTGTATATTATTATTACAAAAGGACTTATTATGTCTTACATAATTGCACTTAGAAAATTCAAATAATTACATCATTCTTGATTCTAATAGTAATAGGGAAAGTTGCTTTATATTTTGAAATTCTATACGAATAAATTATCTTGTGTTGCACACAAAGCTTTTATCAACAAATAACTATAAGGTTATATATTTGTTGTAATTACGATAATAAAGTATTATTAAAAATAAATTAACGTCATAAATTTTCTTTTTGTTAATAAATCTTGCTTGATTTAACTTTTAAATAATTTTGATCATTTAATATTTATTTTTCTTTCTCTTGTTTTTGTCATTTACGTTTATCCTCAATTTACTTATTTGCCATGTCATTGATTAACTTATATATTAATTTTGAATAATTCTCGTTATATGAAAAGTGATTATGGAACATTTAGCTTAATAGGTATTTTTAATCGCGCAATTTCATAAATCTTAGTCATTTATAGAAATTGCTAAAAATAAAAATAAAAGAATACAAATCACGTGCAATAAAGTTCAATCAACTTCGCATGTTTTGAAGTAGAAAAAATTAATCATCTGCTGAAGTAAATATAATTATAAGTTAATCCGCTTGTTAGATTGTTATTGACGGCAAATAAGAGAATCCTCGTGAATTTTAATAATTGAGTAACTTCTCCATCTAAAGAAAAAATATATGCTCGCAGATCGCAACCCTGGCCTACGACCTGAAAGTTCTTATTGACATTTTCACCACATCATAATCTCCGCACGTAACTTTGTACCTATGTATACCTTCGTACCGGTATAATTCTAATCTTCTTACATATGTAACACTTACCACATACATATTACCACATCTTATTATGCGCTTATATTACGTAATAAAGTAGTGGGTGCACGTTATGCTTTCGTGTCTAACAATGCGGACACGAGCAAAATTTTCTATATTTTATCCATACTAATTCTATACTAAAATGAAAATGTTGAATAATTACATTAACATATTGCTGTATGATTAACAGAATTGCCTATAATTACAATCCTTTATTATTATGCAGAGTAAACGAAACAAGTCAAGATTTAAAAAGCAAGTAATAACGATCTTATCCTTTTTATCCTTTTGTGAGAATTATTTACTCTTTAAGTTTTAAACTTATTTCTCATTACTTTGTATATAAAAATACAGAAGATAAATATCGACGGTTTTTAAATATATGACAGGGAGATGATGAAGCTAATTATTATGCTTGATGCATCAACTTGATGAAAATTGACAGATCACAGTTACGATAATAAGAACGCATTACGTCGGTAAAATAATCAAGGATTCAATGCTAATGGTTTTGCTCTATCAAGCTAAAATTGCATTGTTTTTATATTGCGAAGTTTCTTTCGGTTGTCACTCATGTGTGTAGAAAAACTGGCACTTCATGCAACAACAGCAGCAGCAGCAACAGCAACATTTCGAAAGTTAACGATCCCGCCTTAGAACCGCATAATCAACCACGCGACCGCATCTCGTCCTCATCCTTGGATGTCGCGAAGAGGATCGCGTCCCTCCATCGTCACGCGGAGATGTCGCGAGATTGCAATACTCGGAGTATTCGCGTAATTCCGGCGGATGCGTGCAAACCGCGTGTACCGTCACGTGTACGTGCGTGCGCGTGTGTATGCGTGTATGTGTTCAGCTTGGCTACGGCCCTGACTGAGTTAAGAGGAGGCATTCTACCGTGATAAATTCACCATCGCCTTCGCCGTCACCGCCCGAGTGGGGTGGCATTCTGCGCGCACGGAGAAAGTGCGCTTACTTACTTTATATATATATCCGCGCGACGGGGCCATCGTACGCATTTTGAATATCGCTGTCGCTAATTGCGAACACGCACAATTTCGTGGCTAAAGAAAAAAGAAAAACAATCGCGTCACATCATCGCAGGATCATCGGAAGGATGATGCTGATCGGACTCGTATTGCTCGCCATATGGGCCAGAACCGCCATGTCGGAGCTGCGTAAGTTTGCTTCACTTTTTTAAATTTAATGTTTAATTATTATTTTATATATAGAATAGAAATAATAAAACAACTGGTTAGAATTGTTTACAAAAAAAAGAAACCCAGAATTAATTGAATTAAATTATATTGTGGAGTGTGTTTTTTTTTTATTAAACAGTTTTGACCTACATATATATATATAGTTGCCGTTACACAGCGCACATAACAGAAAGACAATTATAAAATACAAAATCTAAGGAAAAAGGAAGTATAATAAAATAGGGAATTGTGAAATAAGCAAAAACTGCATGATATCATTAGTATTAATTATATTAGAAAAAAATTTAAATTACATATAAAATTATACTAATAAATAAAATTATTATTTGCAATAAAAATGTGCGCATAGTAAAAGATCAAGGATGATCTTTTTATTTTATTCAACAAATAACAATGTCTTCATGGAAAATATTGTGCAATTTTCTTTTTATATATGTTATTGATTAAGCAAAGAAATTAAATCAAGAACCACTAAATTTTTTATACGAAGAGAAGTAAATCAAAATTGAAATTAAATTTTGATCAGAATAAATGCAAATTTGATGAATTTTTACGATCAAGATTTCTTTAATTCTTTCGTATTAAGAAAGACTTATTAGATATATTTGTCTTATTTTGACATGTACAGTTACTCTTTTCTTAACTTTATTATTTATTAATATTTTATATATTAGAGGCAAATGTATTTTTAGTTATTCCATTTTAAAAAGTCGATTGCCTAATTCAAGAATTTGTAGTTCACGAATTTATAATTCAAAGCCAAGCGATTTTTTTACGACCTATGCATATTATGCAGAAGTGCAGGATCACAACCTGCTATTAAAACGCGTGGTAAGAAAGCTTATTCAGAAACCATTAAATAAGTAAGATCTCTCCACAATTATATGTAATAGACAGTAAAAAAAGTCTGAAGTTAGATTATGTATGTGTGATCTATAATCTCTATGAAAACACAAATCATTATTTTAACATGAAAACCTGTTTCAATTACAACCATTAGATCACAAATACTCTCTTTTTTATAACGATCCTCGTAGCAATGGTGTTACACATGTTATTAATTTAGTTTCAATGTCTAGGTATTAAAGATTGAATATGATGTAATTATTTTATCGGAATACACGACTTCAAAGTTACGCGTAAAGCATTGACGTATTTTGTTTGCAATTATCATTTCTTTTCGTAATTTCCGCGTGTAATGTCCTTACATGTGCAGCACTTTTATGATGATTCATAAAAGTATGCCGACCATCATTGAGAAATCAATAGAAAACCCGGAAGTATTGCGAACGCTATCGAAGGAAAATCGGATGGGTATGTTTGCTACGTGAAACGATAATGTTACTCTTACATGCTGCATATGCGAGACAATGTAATCTGCAATTTAATTTTGTACTTTTACTTGTGTAAAGGCTTTCTTGTCGCCGTTCTAACTCGTGCAAGTAGACGTAAAACGATATAATCTTGAACGCGTGTCTTGTTTTAAAAGAGAAATGCGACTTGACGTTGTTATCCCACATCTTTTTTTCTAACGTCCATTGTTATCATTTACATCTCTTACAGTAAGTGTTTAAAGAGTATGTACATTGTCATTTCACAAACAATCCACAAACTGCTTCATACTATCTCTCCAATTCGCAATCTATAATTTTAGAAGAAGAAATAGAATTAATATCTATTTATTAAGCATATCAATAAATATTAATAAATTATTAAATCAAGTGTAACGATAATTAAATTGGCAAATGTATGGATAAAATTAAGTAAAATTTGTATTAGAATGGATTTTATTTTTTACTATGTGTATATTGTATTTAATTGTATTTAATTAGTAATAAAAGATTTACATTTATTAAAAATTTATAATCAGAGACATTTATATTTTATATTTTATATTTTTATTTTTAATTAAGCAATTTATAATTATTGTTAAGTTGTATTATTTATCCAAACATTGATTTTGTCTCATTAATTTAAACATTTTATAAGAAGATGAAAATGAAACTTTTCTTTTTGGAAATTAATTTTCTTGCTTATTAAAGAGCTTTCTATATATCTTTATATATATCTATCTTTAAAATTTTTACACACATATATATATATGTATATAATAATCAATAAAGACC